AGATGTGTATAAGAGACAAGTAAATATGGACATAACCCAAGCATGAATACTACCAAATATATGCCTCCCATTATGGTCCAGCCAGAAATTCGACAAATTAGGGTAGTCGCGTTTGGTGGTAGAACCCAATGTGGATTTTGAAATATCAACTTGAAAATTCAGCATAATTAAGTTCAATATATGTTACATTCATAATATTAAAAACATTGTTGTATATTTACCATCTTCTTAAAATATTTTACAGGTCAAAATTACACATAAACGCTGGCGACGTTGGCGTTATTTTGATTCTTTGATTTTTGAAATGTCATAACTTTTTTTCTAGGTCACCTACAAAGCTAAAAATCACAGTATTTACTCATCTTTGTGAGTAGATTCAGATTCTGCATTCAGATAATTACTTAGAAAAATACTCTTTGAATTATGCTCTACCAAACATGGCTTCAGAATGAACGTGACCAGGCTTTCAGCTCTTTTTGCTCACCCATATCTCAAAAACTAGAAGGGCTAATCCAAAACTATTTTTGATTTCTAATACCCTACTAACTTCTGTGTTAGTAAGGTAAATATGGACATAAACCAAGCATGAACACTACCAAATAGATGCATCCCATTATGGTCCAGCCAGAAATTTGACAAATAAGGGTAGTCGCATTTGGTAGTAGAACCTATTAGATGTGGTTTTAAAATATCAACTTGAAAATTCAGCATAATCAAGTTTAATATGTGTTACAATCATAATATTAAAAACATTATTGTATATTTACTGTTTTCTTAAAATATTTTACAGGTCAAAATTACACACAATCGCTGCCAACGTCATTATTTTGATTCTTTGATTTTTGAAATGTTATAACTTTTTTTCTATTAGTCACCTACAAAGCTAAAAATCACAGTACCTGCTCAACTTTTTCAGTAGATTCAGAATACTTTTGAATTATGCTCTATCAAACATGGCTTCAAAATTAACGCGACAGAGCTTTCAGCAATTTTTTCGTCAATCTCAAAGACTAGAAGGCCTAATCCAAAACTGTTTTGATTTCTAATACCCTACTAACTTCTGTATAGGTACATAAATTAAATATGAATATAAACCAAGCATGAATACTATCCAAAAGATGCCTCCCATTATAGTCTAGCCAGAAATTTGATAAATACAGGTAGTCGTGTTTGGTGGTAGAACCCAATATTGATTTTGCAATATCAACTTGAAAATTTAGCATGATTAAGTTTAATAAATGTTACAATCAGAATATTAAAAATATTATTTTATATTTACCATCTTCTTGAACTATTTTACAGGTCAGGATTACACATAATCACACATTTTTGACTGTCAAATGTCTATTCTTGAAAATTAATATATATTATTATTATATTTTATCATATGCTGATGCTGCTAACAGTTTGTGCCATATTTTTATAAAAACGTGATACCAAAATTTTTTTTAATTACAATAAACTTAAATTAACCAGAATATCTTAATTTGCATTACCGGTAATTAGCTTTTTTTTTTTTATAAAAAATGTATAAACAGAAAATTTATGTTAATAAGTTCAAACTCCATAGTTTAATTGATGTATTCAAATGTTTAACTATATTTAGTTATTTTAGTTAAAATAATTTCATATAAAAGTTGTTTTAGCATTGTGTGCACTGTGTGAAGATGCTAACAGAGATGGATGACAACAGTGACAACAGTGAAAGACATGGAGAAAGCTACACCGATCCACATACTGACAAAGCTACTCTAAATTCTTTTTTAACATCTTTAAACTTTAAACCCCTTAAGAGTTCATTAAAGTCAAATATTGTATACTGTAAAGCAAAATCAAAGGAAGAAACATTTTGGCATCACTTATGAAAATGTGGCACAAAAAGTAGCATTAGCATATGATTATTATATAATATATATTAATTTTCAAGAATAGACATTTGACAGTCAAGAATGTGTGATTATTTGAATGCAGAATATGAATCTACTCAAAAAGTTAAGCAAGTACTGTGATTTTTAGATATTTAGGTGACTTAGAAAGAAAGTTGACATTTCAAAAATCAAATAAATTTAAATAACGACAACGTCGGCAGCGATTATGTGTAATTTTGACCTGTAAAATATTTCAAGAAGACAGTTAAATATACAATAATGTTTTTAATATTATGATTGTAACATAATTATATTAAACTTGATTATGCTGAATTTTCAAGTTGATATTTCAAAATCCACATTGGGTTCTACCACCAAACGCGACTACCCTTATTTGTTGAATTTCTGGCTAGACCATAATGGGAGGCATATATTTGGTAGTATTCATGCTTGGGTTATGTCCATATTTACTTTACTTACACAGAAGTTAGTAGGGTATAAGAAATCAAAAACAGTTTTGGGTTAGCCCTTCTAGTTTTTGAGATACGGGCGAACAAAAATTTCTGAAAGCTCTGTCGCGTTCATTTTGAAGCCATGTTTGATAGAGCATAATTCAAAAAATATATTTTAAAGTAATTTTTGGAATGCAGAATCTGAATCTACTCAAAAAGTTGAGCAAGTACTGTGATTTTTAGCTTTGTAGGTGACTTAGAAAAAAAGTTATGACATTTCAAAAATCAAAGAATCAAAATAACGACAATGTCGGCAGCGATTATGTGTAATTTTGACCTGTAAAATATTTCAAGAAGACAGTAAATATACAATAATGTTTTTAATATTATGATTGTAACATATATTAAACTTGATTATGCTGAATTTTCAAGTTGATATTTCAAAATCCACATTGGGTTCTACCCCCAAACGCGACTACCCTAATTTGTCAAATTTCTGGCTGGACCATAATGGGAGGCATATATTTGGTAGTATTCATGCTTGGGTTATGTCCATATTTACTTCATTTGCACAGAATTTAGTAGGGTATAAGAAATCAAAAACAGTTTTGGGTTAGCCCTTCTAGTTTTTAAGATACGGGTGAGCAAAAATAGCTGAAAGCTCTGTCGCGTTCATTCTGAAGCCATGTTTGATAGAGCATAATTCGAAAAGTGTTTTTCTAAGTAATTATTTGAATGCAGAATCTGAATCTACTCCAAAAGTTGAGCAAGTACTGTGCTTTTTAGCTTTGTAGGTGACATAGAAAAAAAGTTATGACACTTCAAAAATCAAAGAATCCAAATAACAACGTCGTCGGCGGCTCTAATGGGTGCCACGCCCACTTTTTCGGACACCGGTATCTCGGAAAGTATTGGTCCGATCGGAAAGCATTGGTCCGATTGAGCTGAAATTTTGGATTTTTCTTAGTTACTGAAGTTACAACAAACCCTGAAAATTTAAACAAAATCTGAGATGGTGACTTCCGCGGCCACGTTGAATTGGCATGGAATGACCCTATTCTCAACACATCATTATACTATACTGTATTATTTATTATTATTCGATACTACAACTACAACTTATATAATCTACTCTACAGCAAAATGTTAACGTACGGCACCATCCTACCGGCACTGATCTGCTGCCGACCAGTATTGTTTTTCAATGATTTTGTAAACTTCAGAAACATAATTAACAAAATATCTTGGCCTAAATTCAAGAACTTCTAACAGTAAACACCCTTTAAATAACTGTAGAAGTACATGTTTCCATGGTTGTTAATTAACTCCTAGCGCTGGATAGGGCCAAAACATGGCCATTCGCGCTGAACAAGTGTGCACGTCTGGAGAGTGATGAATTACCCAAAGCGAATTCACAGGGCTGAGCACGTGCGACAAGACCTGTTCAACTGATTGAAAGTTTAGTATTTCAGTACTGTACTGTTTATAACACAGGACAGAAAGCAAATTACACCATAGCAGATGTCAAGAAAGATAACGATTATGATTATAAATGTCTGAATTAAATTTAAATGCAAACATAATTAATATACAATATAATATTTTTTTTAAAAAGCACTGCCTTTACTAGAACATTAGCTAACAACTCCATTCACTGAATCGCACAAGTTTGTCTGAGCCAGCCAGTCGGCCATTTTCAGAATTGACATTCTTTCTGTCTTTGATAACATTCCTGAATTGGTGACGTACAAAGACTTGACCTGATTCTCTCAAGAGTATTGTGGGAACCTACTTGTGGGAACGTTTCTCATTCAATTTACTGTTACTAGACAACTTGTAGTACTGCAATTAATGATCAAATTTCCAGGATATTCAAGGACAATCTTAAATTTCCAGGACTTTCCAGTAATGGAAAAAGCTCATTTGTTTTTTTAGGACATTCAAGGAATTTAAGGACGCGTACGAACCCTGTTGAAAGGCGATTCAACTCAACTCACAATAAATGACTTTAGATATAGAATTAGAGCTAGTATAATCTAACAGAAAAAATACAACTAGAGAAAATATAATTTAAAAAAAAAACGAATCCAGTAAAATTTAATGTTATTATATTAAGAGCTATTTAATCATACACTATAACTACTTACCGCCTTTATATCTATCCGCTTTGCAATGTTCATCTTCTCCGGGCTTAAGTTTCCATGGCAACACATCATGACCGAATTGTCTGGTTTGGAGTTGAAGGTGTCCTGATCACCAAGCCAAGCTTTAATCCAGTCTCCATTCAGCCACTCAAACTCTGCCTCTGTGAAACAATAACAAATGGTAAGTCACATCATCATGCATATTTTTGAAACCTTTTACTGTAAAAGAAAGTACAGTACTAGATATATATATGGCTGCAAGTGGAAGCGTAATACCTTAATTAATCATTGCGGGATGCCACAAAATGCTGTCTTAATAAAACTGTAACACCTATCAACAGAACTGTAAACCTATCAGCACTGAACTGTACACCTATCAGCCCAAAATAATCATATAATTATAAAGCTGTAAGCCAAACTACAGACATATTTTCAAATTATAATTATACAGTAATATCAATATGTTAACAATAGGACACCTACCGTTACTCACTGGCAGTAGTTTATATATATGTTGGATTTCATTGTGCCTTGCTTTACCAGTTTCAACACTAGCATTCTAAAATTTAAAAAAAAACAAAAAAAAAACAACATAATTTTATTACTTAAATACATGCAACAACCTGACTAGGTCAAATGACTATATGGGCAATTCAGTTAATAAAAAAAAATCTTAATTTTTTCTCATTATTGTATTATTTTATAGCATTTATATAGCAAATATATACAGAAAACTGCTTAAGGCACTTTTTTCTTGGTCAATGGATACAAAATAGTACTATTTGTGGAAGTGGTTTGGCGCAGCGGGAACGGTTTGGTTTCCCAAACTCAAGGTCAGGGTTTCAATCCCACGCTGTGCATTTCGCTTGTGTCCTTGAGCAAGACACTTTATCTGCACTGCTTCTCTTCACCCAGGAGTATAAATGGGGACCTGGTGGGGTTACTTGCTCCTGCGCTGGTTACCAGCATCAACACTTAACATGTGGACCCAATGACCAGGGAAAAATAACTTCAGCGCTTCGTAACTGAAAAGAACGGCGCTATACAAATAACAAGTAACAGGAATAAATTATACACACTGTGCAACATCCTCCGCTCCAAGGGGAGTATTCCTAGTTATGCGTGTAATCAGCACTAACTTCACTCCGACTTATTCACCTCCTACCAGGTACTCATTTATGCTCCTGGGTGGAGAGAGGCAAAACATATAAAGTGTCTTGCCCAAGGACACAAGCAGTGTGACAAGCAATCGGTCTCAAACCTCCAACCTTCCGATTGAAAGTTCAATACCTTTACACACTGCGTTACACACTTCTCGTTTAACTTGGGACTATCCTAGGGACTTGTGGCAGCTGCAGTGAAAAGTCACCCGACTACGTGCAATGGATACATAAGGACACAAACTTATTTTTTAACCGGCCTAACTCTGCATGTGAGGGTTATTCGAGGAGCCAAGCAACCGGACTAAAATTAAAAATAGACATTAGTCAGTTTGAATTGGGGTCTACAAGAAGCACGAACTTTTACTTTCATTTCAACCGCTCAGCTAACTTGATAATAATGAATGTTCTAAGGCTGGTCACACACTGCGTTTCACATTGGTTGTATGACCTTTGGCTGACAAATTCATCTCCACTCTCCGGGAATACTTGACGACACACGGTCTGCTGTTAGCAGACTAAGCGGATTGCCATTAAAATCCATATGTTGCGCATGCATACTGCTATGTGATTCCGGCCTAATATTAAAGTGTTGCACTATCTTGTATAAACTTAGCTATTGTTTGAATTTAAATAGTTTTCGAAACTCCATAGATAGCTGTAATTTACTCTACTTGTCTCACACCAAAGTGGTAATTAAGGAGCTTACTCGCATCTTCTTCATTTCTAAGATCCATTCATCAAACTTCTGATTATCCAACAGAACCATCTCCTGTAGGTGCTCAGGAATCTCAGGTTCCACATTAGAAGTGCTCTCTGTATACTCATTGCTATGGTTACCTAAGGAGATGAGCAAACATGGCATATGCACATATCAAGATCTGGTTTCATAATCCAACTTCCATAACCAATACCATCTTCATCATCACTATTGTTATTATTGCGCTTTTCTATAGCATCAGCATAATCATTGTCATCACCATTTTCACCATCAATGTCATTATCATCATCATCAATACAATAATGACACCAACTGAAAAATCAATGTGTTAAATGTATCACATGATTTCCTTAAAATCGCTACGCTGTCGCTACAGTGGTTTTTTTTTTTATATTGTAAGCTTTGTACTACGTAGCAGTCCTAAATGCAATCAGGAAGACCCTCTGATTCGATCAGCATCACCGAAAGTTCTTGGTGATAGCGTGTAGCGATTCTATGCAAACCAAGCTTAACATGTGACAGGACTAACAGGATATCTGTACCAGAAGATAACTGTACAACAAAGTGATAACTGTGCCACAACATGACAAACTAAACCACAACAAACAGCAGTACTAAAAAAAGATAACTCGACCACAACAAACCTCTACCATAATATAATATATTAAAATATATCATAATGGGATTATCCTACACCACAACATGAAAAATGTACCAGAACGTAATAACTGTACCATAATTTGATATCTTATCAAATTATGGTGCTTTTATTAAGTTGTAGTAATTTCCAAGTTGTAAAAAAACATTAAAACTGTAATACTTTAAAAAAACAGTACAGTACTGTTAATTCCTGCAGTTTAAATTATAAATAAATAAATAAAAAAACATCATCATCACATTTGTCAACACCATCACTTAATTTTTGATGTATATTATTTATTACCATCTCTATTTTCCGGTTCCTTCCTCTTGTAGACCAACATGTAAGCATTCCTTGAGGCATGGCTACCTTTGGTCAGACGTGGTCTCTTTGGCTGACTTGTACCAGCACCTATAAAAATACATTGACCAAAGGAAGGAAAAGTTTATTTTTTAGGAACATGAGCCAAGGATTGTTAACACTCTGACTGCAGGATTTGAAAAAATAGTATCAGCCACTGCCAGACTTTTTAGCGATTTTTAACACCTTTCCAAAGCTCCTTAAAGTGTGTGTATGTGATCAGATTGACACATGAGGCAATAGTCCCCGTTAGCAGAAATGGTCCATAGTGAGCTGTCTGGTAGTTGAGAGTGAACTGTCAAATGGTCCAGAGGGAGCTGTCAACAGCTCCATAACAGCACCATAAACTTAACTTTAATTGGTTTTAAGAATGTGCATTGGGAGTTAACAAGAGAGTCCTGGCGAGCAACATATAGCCATTGGAATGTAAACAAGAAACCCATTACAATCACTCACTTCATCTCATGGCTTCAGTGGCGATAAATAATTTAAGAACCCATCGCTATTCAACAAACCAGTAGGATTTATAACGCAGGTTTTCTTACAAAAGTTGGGTGCCATGGACCAGTGCCAAAAATGCAGCATGATGTAATAAATACTACAAGAATGACCAACATCTTAGGTTTAAAATGTTACAAATACTTTATTTTAATCACAATCTGTGACCCGTAAACTGTAAAATGAAAGTGGCTCACTTTTGTAGTTTTACACATATTCACACAATGAAGCCGAGATAACCGTGTTTCAGTATTGTCGTGCAACATGAGGTCACTGAGAATGGGTTACATTGAAATAGGGAAACGCTTACGGTCCAGACTGAATATAGTGTTCAAATTGTTAGTACATATCGGTACATACCCCATCTGTCAGATTCCGTAAAGAAACCTGAAACACTGAGATCTCCATATTTGGCGGTCAAGCGTTGCGTTACCAAACACAGAGATCTCTGTGTTTGGCAGGGGGAGTGTTAAGAGCGAAATCCAATCCCTTTCATAAGACATACTACTTGTTACAGATTTTCCACTAGCCGTCATCATGTTGAAGGAACTTGGCTGTCATTGACCATGAAAATGGTTGACATAACATAGCCACTGAGAGAGATCTTTTATATAAATGAATGAATACCTGTCACCTAAGTGGGATGCTTAACAGGTATCCCCCCCCACCTTCCCGGGTCAGGAGCATCCCTTATCAGCCTTGTCAAGTCTTGCCTAGTGCATGACAATCACTGTGACATACTGTATACAAAATGCTGTACAAAACGACATCTCATTTGGAGTTGTTTTGGTCCTGAAAGAAAAATCTGATTGTTTGACAGACTTTGAACCCAAAGCCAATCAATTGCAAAGCAACCATCTTAACCACCAAGTTATAATGCCACTACCATTGTATAACCCCTTACCTTGCAGGTCTTCCTCTGCTCCTAGCTTCAGTTTCTTTCCCTCAATTTTTTCTATCTGTTCATCATTGTATTTAAACCATGATCCACTTTTTTCATCCCGTATATGAGCGATAAAGTGTCCGGAGTAGGCAGACGGTCCACGGTGAATAAGAACTGCCTTCAACTCGTACTCAACAGCAACATCTACAAAGTAACATTTCAAGAACATTACACATACCAAGTGAAAATGCTCAACACTGGTGTAATAATAAATAAAAATAATATTAACAGAAATTAAATGCATTTCAATAAAATTTAACGATGCGATTGCCTAGGCCTTCTCAGTGAGTATTATTTTCATTACTATTTTTAAGTCTCGAAGAATCTATTTAAGAGGATATAAAACAAATATTGACTGCTCTAGATTCGGGGAAGGTGAAATCTATAGACCGTAGCCTATCTTCACATCACTTCGGGGCAACAGATTTCACCATTCCCCTCATGAGCAGTCAATATTTGTATACTATTTCATAGTAATCATTACTCAGTGACATACACTGCCTGCAACACAGCAAAGCTTTCTGGTTAACCCACACAATTTCTTACTGGAATGAAAATACAAAATACATTGTTTATAAACATTATCAAAATACATACCTTTATTTGTAAAATATTCTGAGAGATTTAAGAATTCTGGGAACTGAATATAAGTGTTGAGCTTCTTTTTCATGCCAGTTTGCCTACAAGAAATTTTTTTTTAAGTCAAAGATATGGACACTAATAAGTTGTGTACTACTGCTAAATCAAAAGTTAATATGGATTGAAGGAAGTTGTATAATGTAAATTAAATTCAAGCTAGTATGTTAGATTGTAGCCCTCTAGTATTAAGAAAGTACTATAAAAAGATCTTTTAATATAGTTGGAAAAGGTAGTCTGAACAAGTGTAGGTGTATTTTAACATCTTTTGCTGATATTACTTTTTTTTCTGTTTTAAAAAAGAATGAATAATATTTAATTGTACTATAAAAGAACTTGTACTATAATTAGAAAAGGTTTTAGTCTAAATAATTTTAGTCTATTATAATTATGTATTTGTAAAATTAAGTTCATAATGCACAAATAACGACATAAATATTTACATTAGAAATATTTGACTTAACAAATCATATTCATCATTGTTCTAATGCTAAAAGCATTCAGAACACTGCTATTATAAATATAATTTTTAATATTTCAGGATGGTAAAATTTATAGAGACGGGAATAATGTTGAGTTAGGAATTAGTTTGATTTACCGATCAAATACAAATCGCAGCAGCTGCAAGTTGAGGACAGGTGGAAGATCCTGCAACTGTATCTTACGAGCTGCATTCTGTTTTGAGTTGCAAGTACTACAGAAATATTGGTTTGCACCTTCCAGTCGTTCTTCCTGAAATCAACATACATGCAAAATTAAATAATACACCGATTTTGGAAAATAAGGATTTTACTATGCTTCAATTTTAAGAAACACCCATGACAATAATGTCATGAAAGTTGGAATATTAATATGTATGTATTAATATTATGTATTTAGTTGAAATGCAAATGTTTGGAATTACAGACACCTAGCCCTGCTGAACGCTACATTATTAATGTTAATAATTAAGTTCCACACAGCTTTAAGTCGTGTCAAACAGCATTTATTTACAAATTTGACAATACCCAGAGGGCGGTGTTTTTCGGAACATTGCATCAAGTCCTGAGACAAATTGCAATGCTTTGACAAATACTGGAGTTTATGTTTTTTTATGAACTGTACCTGCAGAAATTCTTCAAGACATTCATTCAAATCCTTGTGACCTTTAATGTTGAGGTCAAGTTCATAAAATCTTGATGGCCTGCTTGAACTTGTCAAACAATTATTGCACCTGATGATAAAATATACAAACATTTACACAGTGGCGTGATGGGGAGTCACAGGGCCTGGAGGCGAGAAAGTGTTCAGGGAACGGTATTTGAGCGAACCCCCAACCCTCCAAATCCCTACCTTAAAAGAATTATGAATATTAAAACTGAAAAGGCTGCATGATAGGTAATGTCAATGTCATTCAAAATTTGTGAGTTAAAAACCAGGAATTACATTATTTTATTGAAAGTTTTAGGTGTCGTTTACTGGTCTGTGTGTCACGACTCTGTTGGAAAGTGCTGCGTGTTAGTAAGAGGGGCCTATATAGGCCCTTTGAACTGTGCCTGTTACTCTTTCATATATTTATGGACCAAAAATTGGTTCCTATAAAATCGCTACACCTTCTTTACAGTGTTTTCAGTGAAATTGCTACACTGCTGCCCCAGACATAATCCGAGAAGGCTGCCTGTTTCGCCACCAATAAATTGGCGAAGTTCAAAGTTAAAAATTGTTGTATTGTCCAGATCATAAAAACAACTGACCAATCTAGAATCATATTAGGAATGGGCAGCATGGACCTACTACTTAATATTGGTGCTAGTTTACATCCAACAATTAGACTTAAGGCATTTAAGGTACTAGGAAGAAATTACTTTTAAAATGTTCTGATATATTTGTGACAGTTAGGAGTGTAAGTAATGTGAATTTTGCAAGATTAACTGAGATTTGACGACAAGACGGGAGAAAAAAAAAGGTAAATCTAGTGACTACGTAATCTGGCTAATGGTACATAAAACCAGGTCGTCATAATAATAACTATGTTATATCATGTAGAATAAATGAATATATAGAGTCAGTCGAACAAACCTGATTTTTATATAATATGTATAGATAAATTTATATTATATACAAAATAAAAATCATTTTTGAATTTTTCTACATGTTGTTTTGAAGTCTATTTTTTTTATAGAATAGCGGTTAAGAGAAAATTCACTTGGGTGACTCAGGCTTACAGTTCATTATTCTCTCCAGACACACCGCCAACCTATATTTTTTTATAATTCACTGGACTGTCATTTATAATTTTTGTATTGAATTGTTCATGTGTTAAATTCATAATAAATAAGTAAAACATACCTTGTTGTATATGCATACTGTCCACAGAATTGGTCCTGAATGATTCGTTGCACCAGTGGGTTTGGATCCCGTGACAGAGTATCCTCCAACAGTGACAACAAAAGCTTGCAAAACTCTTGTGCATCCTGCTGCAGTGCCGTATCAAGACCTAAGCAGTTTATAAAGTCTGATGGGTCAATATACCTGCAATGAAATATATCCAAGTTTATACTCTTTACTATTTGTGGCAAAGACAAGCCAAGCCAGTCACTCACTCGTCACAAAAATCAATTTTTTAGTTATTAAATACAGGGTTACACAGTAAAATGAGAGCTATAAAATGGTAAAAAAATCATTCAAACCCGACATTTCTTTATGAAACAAAAAGACAGTAACTCCGAAAAGAGACAGAGACATTTTGAGATTCAACGTTTCGATCTATTTGATCATTTTCAAAAATAGTGATGAGAAAATCTCATTCATCCATATATGCTTACAATACTTACAAAAGTATAACAGAAAGCAAATAAAAACTGACCAATCAGATTAAAATCAAAGTTATAACTAGCCAATTAAAAACGAGGTAATTCAAAATGAGGTGCGTCTTACATTAAGTAGTATATATTTCGTTATGAAGTTACAGAAGTTTAAACATACAGCTGTCTAAAACAATATTTGAGAAATCAGCCTTTAAATTTTATGATTTTGGGCCATTTCTCAGGCAGAAACCATCACCAAATTGTTAAAAATTATTGTTTTAACATTGAAAATAGGGACAATAACAGCATAGCATGATATATAGATATATAAAGTTTAGTTTAGTGTAATAAAATAGCTTTTAAAAATTTCGACATTCCAGCATGTTTTGGCCATTATCTCTGAAACAGGATTTGCAACAAGTGACTGGTTTGGCTTGTCTTTGCCACATTTAATTCCACAAAATTAATAATATTGAGGATATTATTACTGTATGGCCCAGTAAGGTTTAGATATAAAATGATACCATATTTTTTGAAATCTGGGAAGAAATCCTTAAAAATTAAGTAATTAAAACTTAAATTGTTTATTTTAAACAAACCATAATAATATGTTATCAACTTGAAGTGGAGTTGAATATAAAGATGCCTGCCTTCTAATTCCAGAGTCCTGGGTTCAATTCCATGTCACAGTAGGACTTTTTCTCACAACTAAAAACAACTCCACTCCCTATGCCTCATTAAGAGACTTCACTAATAAAAGCATCACTTTTCATTTATTTAAAGAGGGTTCTTGAATATCAGCCGACCTTCTAAGATACGCTGGAAGGGTCACCCTCTATAAATATGGTAAATCAATTTCAGGATTTTTTCCAGGTTTTTAAAAAAATTATTACCAACCACTATAAGGTTCTATGCAAAAAAAATGAAGAAACCGTATTAATATCAGTATTACATACCTCCTTCTGCTATATTGTAAAAGAGCAAAGATAAGTTGCAAGTGACCTGAAACTGTAGATGGGGCCGATTCAGTTGCCTCTGACACACTGCCTTCTGTAAGGGTTCCATTGCTATTACCTGTATAAGTTAAAAATTTAAAATTTCTTGTTCTTCGATGAAACCTTAAACAGGAGAGTAAGTACAGGTACAAATTATGATACAAACATGGTTTTAACCAGCCTAACTTCCTGTGAAATTTGTCAAGGTGCTAAACATTTAGACTCGCATTCTAGCCATATCGTGAACCTGATTTCACAACTGCAAGAGGCACGACTCTTGCCTCTGGATAAATGCTCAAGAGCTCACATTCTTAGGTAGTAAAATTATTGAGGGGAGGGAGATAGGTGGTTTCTTATGGAATGTAGTTGGTACTTAGGAATTAGAAATAATGTATGGTAGTAGAATGGATTATGGAAATGAAGTGGGGTTATGAATTGAAGCTGATGCTTGTAGAGTGGAGATGATTTCTGATGTGTTTAAAGAGTATAAAAATAACAGGAGAGACAAAAAAACACTACACCATACACAGCCAGTGTAGGTTTGTTTATTCAAATTTTACGGAGCCCCTAAAGGGACATGGTTAAAGAAAATATTAAACTATTTTGAGGGAACGAAATAATATTTCGAGGTAACAAAATAATATTTCGTTCTCTCGAAATGGTTTTGAGGGAATAAAATAACATTTCTTTCGAACGAAATAATATTTCGTTCCTCGAAATATTATTTCGTTCCTTCGAAATATTATTTTGTTCCCTCAAAACCATTTCGAGAGAACGAAATGTTTTCAATTTTATCTGAAGAGTGTTGCACCATGTAAGTGTAGCATGAAACTAAATAGTAATAAAATGCCTAATCAAACCTGCTGTTGAACCTCTTATTTTTGTTTTAATTCGCTCTGGTTTAATTACCATTGAGCACTCTGCTGATGATATTTGCAACTCATTCAATCGTTTTACGAGGCAACGAAATATTATTTCGAGGGAACATAAAAATATTTTGAGGGAACGAAATAATATTTCGAGGGAACGAAATGATTTTGTTCCCTCGAAATGATTTCGTTCCCTCGAAATAATATTTCGATTTTTATCATCATAGTATCTTGCGGGAGCACTTTATGTGAACTCATAGTGGGCTCACTACATAATGACAATGGCGACTTCCATCGTAACTAGGGGAGTGACGTTTTTACAAACAGGAGTACGCTCTTTTGTTCTATTTATACTCTTTGATGGGTACAAATGATTTTTCTAAGACACTGAAGAGGTGTTTACCAAAAAAAGTTGTGGCACACATTAGGTAAGGAATCCACCAGTAACGTATCAATAAAACCACACATAAATATAAATATGCCTGATTATAAGAGTTACAGACTAGACAAGACAAATTCAAATTAGGTATTTAAATTTCAGGGTTACGATCCACTCAAAACAGAATCTGAATAGCAATTGAGTTGGCAGTTTTAACAGATCAGTGTCATACACCACCAACTTTGAATTCAAAATTTTAAATGATTATAAATTAGCATAATCAAATAATATGTTCATCATAAATATTCCATTACCAAACTGGCATAAATTTTACTATTACTATTTCATTATCTTAAGCTTTATTGACTTTTTAAACTATTTTGTTGTACATAAATTGAAATTTGTACAGTAACTGTTTCTTGTAGCATATAAACATCAAATTGAACTAAATAAAATCCACCAATCTTTTAAATTACCTTTAACAGGTGTCCATTGATACAAAGCTCTTCGAAAATCCTCATTATGAAACCAAACCTTTAAAAATGCAAATACACTTATTTTATTCACTTGTGAAACATTAGTCAAATAGACAAATATATTAAATATTACCTACAGAAATTTGTATGTTCCAGTTGCTTTCTATTGCAGTAGCTGAATATATCACAATACTAAACAAGAATTAGTTTGCCAATTCTTCTAACGCCCGTATTCTTAAAACAAACTTTAGTCGAACTTCGAACTAGAACTTCATTTAGTGCTAGTCGCATCTTTAACTTCAATTTGTATTCAAAACAATGTAGTTGAAGTTTTAACTATGACTAAATCAAGTCCTAGTTTTAGTTCAACTGAAGACGACTGGCAAGCCACGACTATCAAACTAACCAATGAAAAGGGCTAACTTTAATAGAAGACGAATTTTTAGAGATCCGGTAACGCGGATGAATATTAAGCTGTCGTCTGTGGTTCAAAAACGTATTTCCTCATAATTCATAATAGACCATCATTCCCTTAATTAATTTTCTATAATAATAACTATATTAGTTGTTAACATATTACAATAGAGAATTTGAATAGACACTGAAAATTTGCTTTCTTTGGAGAACTATTATAGTTGAGCCCGAGCGAGGGCAGCACCATCTTTGTTGTTGTTATTTTTAAGCTACGTGATCGCAATGCGAGGGGATTTCGATCAGGAACAATCGCATGTGGCCAGCAAAACATGTTAATTTCTCCTTCTGGAAGCTAAACTTGATGTCTCTTTGTTTAACATACCAAAGATATATCAAACCTGCGTATACAATCGTTTTTATTCGTTTCACTTTATCGTGAGTTACAAAAAACACGTTTTTAGTGGGGTAAATATTTCAAGTCGGCGATTTAGCTGACTAAAAAAATCGGCCTGCGGAGGTATCATTTTAGTCGAGGTTCACATCATTTAGTCGTAGTGCTAGTCGAAGTTCCCTTTAAGAATACGAAGTGACGTAATTTTAAAGTTTTAGCTCAAACTACGACTAAAGTTCGTTTTAAGAATACCGGGGATAGAGGCACCTGTGTCCTACCAGCATTACACCTGTGTCCTACCAGCACTACACCTGTGTATTTCCAGCGCTATATCTGTGTACTTTCAGCATTACACCTGTGTGCTAGTCAAAATGGCTGAGCGTTTAGCAGGGCCGCCGCAAGCTACAGCCATAATATCGGTGCTGGTTCGAACGGCACGCTTGCCTATGGTTCTAGTGGTAGAACAAGTCTCCTCGGATAAGGACTATAAACCGTAGGCCCAGTGTATACAATGGCTCGTGTGCACTATAAAGAACCAAGTACAGTACATCCTTCGAGACGAGTAGGGGATACCCCGGTGTACTGGAACAGACAGCCCCCGTGGTGGTTAACGGGTAGCATAGACACAAAGGGACCCTTAGAGGTGAAGAAAGTCATTGATCGAGTTCCTAGTTCACATATCAAGCGTCTTGAGCATCTTACGTTAGATGGATATGGCGCTATATAAAACTACACTATTATTATTACTTCCAACACTACACCTGTGAATGGCCAGCATTATACCTGTGTATGGTAAGTGCTACACATGTGTATGGTAAGCACTACACCTGCATTATGACAGCACTACACCTGTGTACTGCCAGAACTACACCTGTGTATTGCCAACGTTACACCTGTGTATGGCAAACTCTACACATGCATACTGACAGCACTACACCTGTGTACTGCCAGAAATACACATGTGGTATGTCAGCATAGCACCTATGTGTTACTAGCATTACACCTGTGTACTGCCAGAACTCCACCTGCATACTTCCAACACTATATTTGTGGTAAGTCAGCAGCTTCTAGTGTCACTAGCACTACACCTGTGTACTGCCATACTACACCTGTGGTCTGTCAGCATAGCTCCTATGTTTTACTAGATCTACATCTACATACTGCCAGAATAACTCCGTGTTACCAGCACTACACCTGCATACGGCCAGAACTATACATGTGCACTGCCAGAACTACACCTGTGCACTGTCAGCAGAACTACACCTGTGCACTGTCAGCAGAACTACACCTGTGCACTTCTAGCTTTAATCATATGTGTTTTCAGCACTATGCCTACCTGCTGCCAGCACTACTGAGGATTACAAACTTTGTTAAAAGACGTATTGTCCAATGCAAAATACCAAAAAAAAATCATTTTTTAAATTAGCTTGCTTATTTTGAAGTAACATAGAGGGACAATACATCTTTAAAGGTGTTTAGTAATATTGAGAGTATTTGATATTTTTGTTGGTTTGTTTTAGTTGTTTGTTTTCATGCCTGTAGTTTGCTACTGTTTGAATTGAATAAACAAATGTTTTATTTCTACAATACTGTTATATTTGTGGTTAAATGTAAACAATTCAATGATATGCCTACTATATTTACTGTTAATACTATACTCCTAATACTATATTGGTTTTTATTTTTTATTACTGTAATTCTTATACATACCTGTAAGAATGTGTTTACATAACAAGTTGCACCAAGGTTTTTGAGACCAACAAACGACCCCTAATATAAGAAATCATGATATAATAATTAAAATCTGATGATGATAGCAATTTCGATGATGTTATGATGATGATGATGATGATGATGAGAAGTGGTTTGGCACAGTGGGAAAGGTTTGGTTTCCCAACCTCGAGGTCAGGGTTTCAATCCCTCGCTGTGCATTTCGCTTGTGTCCTTGGGCAAGACACTTTATCTGCATTGATTCTCTCCACTCAGGAGTATAAATGGGTACCTGGTAGGATTAAATGCCAAAATGCGCTGATGTAGCTGCTGCAACTTTATGGAATACTCCCCCAGGGAGCTAGAGTTTGTGGTAGTAATGTGAAGCGCCTAGAGGCCTTGTTGGCGTTAAGCACTATATAAATCTAACATGCATTATGATGATGATCATGATGATGATGATGATGATGATGATGAAGATTATGATGAAGATGATGAAATCGATGATGGTGATGAAGATCTGCCTCCCATACCTCAGGCCGTTTCTCCTCATTTGGATCTTCAATCTCTAGCCAGTATTCATCATCAATGGTCCCTAACCAATCCTTTTCACCAAGTCCAGTCAAACAATTTGGGTTTCCTCTGCAGTTTCTCCTAACAAAATTTTGCATTATGTTAGATCATAACAGTTGTCAAACAGTTGCATATCAAACAAATGAGGCATGTTTTGGCAAAATGGATAAGTTGTAGCAAAAACTGAAATTCAAATTATTGGTATTTTCAGATACTTGAGTATTTTATCTATAATATGAGGGGTCCTTCCATGATAGGAGGTATCAAGTCTTAGAAACAGTTATAGTTATTGGCATGTAAAAGTACAGCACTACAGGAATCAAGACACATAAGTTTCAAAGTTATTCATGCGTACATTTTTTAGTGGAATTCAGCCAAAAACACATGAAGTATAACTGGTTTGTTTTCATGAATTTTCATGCATGACAGATGAAATGGCTATGCAGGCAATATTTCACCTTCTTCAAAAATCAGGGTTTCATAATATAGTCAAAACCAGCATCTGTATAAAGTAGTGAAATTAATACTTTTTCAGTACCTGCAAGCATTTTTAGAACAAGCCTTCTCATTGATACGATAGGCAAGATTGAGGTGTGTTTCATTCACTTGCGCTGGCTCAGTCGTTTCTGCCCACTGCCAAGCGGCTTTCTCAAACTGCTGCTTCGATGGCATCTGCCTAATATTAGCCTATAAAAAATCATAAGTATACACATGATAAAAATTTGGCCTTAGTGTAATAAATACCATGAGAAGAGTGTGGTGCCTTGACAATTACAACGTATTGTACCTTTAGTAAGTTTTCTATTTCAAACCTGGTTCAATTTCATCCACTGCTCTCCTTGTGTTGCTATCAAACAGGCCTAGCTGGCATGTTGAAAGTGCTGCTGTCTTGAGTACCATACCAACCTCAGTTCTTGGAGCAAAAGTAGGCAAATTTCATGACGGCATAAACCATGAAATCTCTCCCCAACACACTCATAGATCAAGATTTCTAAATTCTTCTACGTTTCACAGACATATTCATTATTATTATGCAACTAAATACTTATTAGTGCTTGTAGAAATATAAAAATTATTATATCATTGATATTTACCATAATTTCAGTAATGCTATTATTTTTATTTTTGTTATTCTTCTTTTTTTTTTTATCACTGTTTAGTGTGTAAAAATATTTAAGAAAAAGTTTAAACTTTAAAATTAAGATAGCCTAGGCCTATTATAATATTAATCAATATTATATTTTAATGGTTTTTATAATTTTATATCTATTATGGGGCAGCTGACTCTTAATAATGGGATATACTGTAGGCCTATGTCTAATAAAACTTTGCTAAAGCTGGTCTTTATTGTATTGTACCATAGATTGTAAATTTGATGAAACATGAATGTCCAGAAATAGCACTCTCATTTAACCTTTTAAAAGTACCCTGAAATCAATAAGTTGTAATTTGACAATTTCAAACTTGATGGGCCTACCTTAGGCCTACAATATATAAAGCTGCAAGCATTCATGACTTGATCATGTTGTGCGCATTTTGTTACTTTTGCATACAACACTGTGCAGGCAGTACCGTACTCGCGCGAATAAGCGACCGGGCGCTTAAAATATTTTTTTGCAATTTCTGAGGGGCGCTTATTCAAACAGGGCGCTTATTCAAACAGAGTGGAAATTGAGGGGGCGCTTATGGAAATAGATGAAAATCGAAGGGTTCTTATGGGAAATTATTAAATTCAAGAGGCACTTTTTGAATGAAAAAAGATTATATAAGGACATTACGAATGGTGGTTAGGCGGAAAAGATAATCGTCCAGAGAACATGGCTCATGACAAGAATGCGTGAATATTTACATAACAGCAAAATAGCAGATGCAATTAGCGGTGGTGTGTAGTGGTTAGCTTGTTGGCCATCGGCCGATTGAGATTAGCAGGATGGCAGGATCATTGTATTTTTTATTTGAAAACTCAGATGAGAATGTGCTAAAGGTGCAAATTGTCAGAAAAGATAAAGAGGAGTAGGACTACCTAGGCATAGACAAGTATGTAAAAAGAGTAAAGTTGGAAATATACTGTCTGTCCAAGGATCGGAGCTCTCATCTGTCTAAGAGAAATACCCTCATTTTGATATTGACCTAAGAAGAATGTGTTTCCACTGTGCAGCTCAATTATGCCAACAACCACAGACCCAGGATTGATTTGATTATTGACTTGCTAAAAAGAAATCTTATGATATTATTGAGGGGGCGCTTATTCAAATTAGAAGGGGGCGCTTATTCAAACGGGATGCTTAAGGAAATTTTCACATTAGAAGGGGCAGTTATTCGAGAGGGGCACTTATTCAAATGGGGCGCTTATTCGTGCGAGTACGGTATGCAAATTGTGCAAAGGTTTCTTTCAGCAATTACCGTACTCGTGCGAATAAGCGCCCGGGCGCTTAAAATATTTTTTGCACTTTGAGGGGCGCTTTGCACTTTTTGGGGGGGGGGGGCGCTTATTCAAACGGGGCCCTTATTCGAATGTGGCGCTTATAAAAACAGAGTGAAAATTGAGGGGACGCTTATGGAAATAGATGAAAATCGAGAGGTTCTTATGAGAACTTATTAAATCCAAGAGGCACATTTTGAATGAAAAACGATTAAATAAGGACATCAGGAAACCGCAAATTACGAATGGTGCTGCGGCAGAAAAGATAATCGTCCAGAAAGCATCGCTTGTCATGACAAGCATGTTGTGAGTACAGTATTACATAACAGCAGAATAGCAGATGAAATTAGTGGTGGTGGTTAGCTCGTTCGCCATCGGTCGATTGAGAATAGCAGGACGGCATGATCATTGCCGGTTTTCTTGAAAACTTAGATGAGAGTGTGTTAAAGGTGCAAATTGTCAGAAAAGGAGTAGTAGGACTAGGCTATAGACAAATGAAAGAAGATGAAAGTTGGAAAGATACTGTCTGTCCAGGGAGCTCTCATCATTCTGTCAAAGATAAATATCCTCACTTTGATATTGACTAACGGAGAATGTGATTCCACTTCACACCTCAAATCATGCCAACATCCACAGTCCCAGGATTGATTGGGTTATTGAGGGGGCGTTTATTCAAATTAGAAAGCGACGGAATTTGCAATGATAAAAGATAGCCTAGGCCGTAGGCTAACGGCTAGGCCCGTGAGTGTGGGCCACAACGGTCTGTAGCTACAATGAAAAAAAAAACAATTGCACTTACTAAGGATTTAAACTACTAAACAATATTACTAATAGGACTGTTTGATAGTTTCATCGGGCCGACAGTAGGCCCGACCTTACCGTATTGTTCTGCATGCTCGGCCGCTATTTCACAGGCTACCCTCTCAGCCCCAAAATGTACTACAAACACCTAAAATATAATACCGTAATGAGCTATTATCAGCCTCCAGAATTAGTAAGAAATTAACTGAAATTGAACATAAATTTAATACTGATGGATGAGTTGACAAACATAGATTAAGACTATGATGATTGAAATTACAGCATAATTGGGCTATGGCTAGGCCTGTCATATGTTAATGTTGCCTTTGACCAATTTTTCATTTTTTCCTTCAACTGATGTCATAGGCAGGCCTATCGGTATTCTGTATTTTTTTAAGTTGTTAAATTTAATGCTGTTATTTATGTTTTAACTTTTATCAATTCTTATGTAATTCAGCCATGTGCTGCGCACATGGAATGTATGCATTTTACTGGAAAATTGAATACCTTAATGTAAAAATGGTAAGTATTATTCCTTAAAAGTTTATTTATAAAAACTCTTTCAAAAAAATTATACCCCAAATAATAAAAGAAGACCCACAAAAATAAACAGGAAGACCCCTCCTCCACTGCATCCTCATCCCCAAGAAAGAGCTTGCACAACTTACAAATTGTGCAAAAGTCTCAAATTGTGCACGACAGTCATAATTATAATCTCTCACGTGACATGCATAGATTCCCACTGACTGGATTGATTGGAGAAAAAGTTGTTGTAATTCAACAACAGGCACACTCTGCAGGCCCGTTAAACAAGGATGGGTTTCACATAACGTCCGGTCATTGTCGGAGTGAGAGCCAGGCCTCTATAAGTTGTGGTTTTCGGGGAAAGCAGACTTCTTTCTTTTCTAGGCCTAGGCCTGTCACCTAGCCTCTATGCTATACATATGCATGCCCACCCTAGTGTAGGCCTACGCTAGGCCTATCTATGATTTGAATATAGAGTCAGCTAGCAGTAGAGCCTAGCTAGGCCAGGCCTAGGGCCTACCTAGGCCTAGCATACCTAGGCCTAAGCCCTAACCTAGGCCTAGTCTAAATAAAGTAAGTAGGGCCTAGTTGTAGGCCTAGCTAGGCCTAGTAGTAGTATGCTGCGCGATGTGTGAAACATTTTCTTAGTACTTTGTTGTTTGAGCCTTGGCCTAGGCTAGGCCTACACCGCCGACCGACACTGCCACAGCGAACGACCTTTAAAATTAACTTACCGTTCAAATTATTGATATCATTTATAACAATAATTAGCAGGATAGCAGCGTTCTGTGCGACATTTCGAAGGAAATACTACTAGTTGACATTTATTCAAATTTATTTAATGTTTCTGCTTCCCGCGGTCACGTCTAATGACAACAATGTGAAAGGTCATGATTATTAAAAATTTTAAAACGCCCTCTAGAGCTTTGATAAAACATAAAACCATAGCTCTATGCATAAAACGTAGTAATTACAAATTCATACAAATAATCAACAAATAAATGCTGTAAGATTGATTAAAACGTAGACTAGACACGGTAATCATTTTCAATATAAGATAATTTTAATAATAAGATAGGCCTAATGATTACGGTAACAATTTTCAGAAGTATAATCAATTGTATATACTGTAACTATTAAACTGGAGTTATGTTTACGACACGCGCATGGCCATCCGGGCTGATGTCATCAAATTCGTCGAAATTTTGTAAAAAAACAAATTTCCAAAAATATTTTACACTGAAAGAAAGCATTTTTGAGTGCTTTTAAAATGTGCTCACTCAAATGCTCATTCTATCAGGGAGTTGGTCATGTACCATGACAATTCATGCACCCCGGCACAATCACAACCACGTAACATGAGGCGGGGACCCTGTGACTTTCTAAAACTGGGGCCCTTTTTAGGTCCCGATCGTCAATCTATTGCAGGATTTTAGATGTGTTTTTGTCTTTGTAATAATGTTTTAACGGAGACATATTATACTGACGTATCAACAAACCCTTCGGGTCAGGGGTTTCAAAGACTTCGATTGTAGAGTCTATAATTACAGTATGTAGAAAATATACAATTTTTTCTCTCCCCGACGTAAACGAATGGTTTTTCTCCCGCAGTGGCTCACGGTCGACTGTGGTTGGGGAGGGGAGGGGCTGAAACCGCCCCCACCACTGCGTCACCCCTGTTTACTTATCGATTATACTGTAGGCTATTATAGTACAGTAATTGATAATTTTCACTAAAAGGTTTTAATTATTCAATGTTTTAAAACTTTATTTTTCATTTATGGTACTACTCTTTATTGTGCTTCGTGACCTATAGATGCTTTCTAAATTTCATCTGATGTACTGCAACCTGTGTCATCTGGTGCTCCACCACGGTCTGAATCTTCCTGTTTTTCTCCAATCTCATAATTTTTAAACTAACGATATAATTTTTGACATGATCACAACTAAACTTTGGAACTCTTTTACTATCCCACTTATAATTTTAAAACTTCCATAACCAGCTAAAACCCCAACAAAACTAAACTATCAGACAGAGTAGCGGCAGTTACAGCAGTGGAGAATTTATCGACTCTTCTGAGGGGTCACAATTCCTGAAAGGCGGTAGAAATTATTCACATGAGTCTGGAATTTCCCTGACAGGGGTTATGAATCTTTATAAGGATTCACAGGGCAAGTAGTTAAAAAATTGTTAGGGTTTCCGACTAGAATTCACCTTTTAGATGAGACACATGCCTCCTCAACGGCGGAGGAACGTTTTTGAAAGTAAGGGGGAATTTCAGAAGGTCCAGTATGCGAGCGAAGCGAGCATCTAGGCTTGGTGGGGGGGGGGTTTCAGGGGACGCCAAGGGCCCCGGGGGGGGTCGCCAAGGGCCCCGGTGGGGGTCTAGGGGCTTTTCCCCCTGGAAGCTACGGATATTTGACGAAGTTTGGTGAACTTTATTAGTTATTTTATAGGCATCAAGACTGTGATATGACTTCATAATTGTTGTAATTTCCAGTAGCAGATCCAGGAATACCAAATAGGCCTATGGGGTGGGGTTACTTTCACAGATAGAGGATCTGCTACCTCAGCCCCACCATCGTTGGGGCGCCTGAGGTAAGAAAATTTGTGATTATGGCAACTCTAGATGGCCGGAAATTGCACTTCCAGCATAAAATTTAGGCCCACCCCCTTGAATCCGCCACTGACTTCCGAGCAAAGTCGAAGTCGAGATTGCTTCCACGATCTCAATGAATTACCGTATTAATCATGAGGGGTATCCTTAATATGGGTATTCCCCAACGAAACCTTCACTTTTCTCCCCCCCCCTCCTTCTATAAGCCCGGAAATGATAGGCCTATTGCAACTGTGGCAAGTACAGGAAGTCTAAATAGAGGGTACCCCAGGGAGGGTCTTGTGCAAACGGAATGTCCACCCACCTCAACCCCATGGCGGTTGGGGCTGAGGTAAAAAAAAATTATGATTAATATGGCATCTCTAAATGGTCGGAAATGGCATATCAGATTAAAGTTGAATACAATTTTGTCAGTTTTCTCCATTTTTTTTTAAAATAATTTTGAAAAAAAATAGGAGGTTGGGGGCCTGTGCTGACGGGACTTCCCCTTGAATCCGCCACTGTTCGATGTAACACTTGACATAATCATTTTGTATCACAAATGACTAATGCCTATACAAGCGAAAGATTTTTTTTATTCAATACAGTTTTTACAACTTATAACAAATTAAGTACAGGTATACTGTAAATTCTGAAGCTAACCTTCAGAGAAATTTATTTGGCCAAAATGGCCTAATTAATTATCTTATTGTTTTCGTTAAATTAGATGGGGTTTAAATGTGGTTATATTATGCTAGTGTGGTTTACTGTAAGCCAATCAGTTACACTTACTGTACATCTTCATGGTTAGTATAAAGAGCATCGCTCCATAAAAGGCCCCCATATGCCTAAATACATCACGAAGGCGGGTGAGTCAATTCTTTTTTTCACGTGCTCGAGGGTGGATTTCAAGGAAACTTTACAGACGCGCGTACACAGACGTCAATCAACATTTGGTTGCTCAACTCAAAAAGGTAACTTGTAATGTTCCTTAGAAAATGAAAAAAAATCTATATTTTATAATAATAATAATAATAATAATAATAATAATAATAATAATAATAAGTCAATTTATAAGGTGCAAATAGGCTAACCAAGGTCTCTAAGCACCAAATAATAATAATAATAATAATAATAATAATAATAATAATAATAATAATAATAATAATAATAATAATAATAATAACAATTACAACAAAAATTTTAATTTAACGAACTTACCTCAAAGAATTACAATATTGAGGCAAACTTAAAAACATAGTACTTGGTACTGGGAATACGTATGTAGACAATTTGTTTTTTTCAATAGGTTTATTTTTCATATATAAAGCAAATGTATTAAAACAAATTAATAAATGCAAATTTACCTCAGTCTATCAACTGTTTATTGTTGAAAAAGTATAAGAAAGTACATTAAATAGGCCTATACGAAAATAACATAGGCCTATGTAAAAATGTACTTGAGAAACCTCAATACGTACAGTGTAATGTTTTTTTTTAAATAATAATAATAATAATAATAATAATAATAATAATAATAATAATAATAATAATAATAATAATAATAATAATAATATTAATAATAAGAATAATAATAAGAATAATAATGACATTGCAGCGTTCGTAAAATGTTCGTAAAATATTTGTCACTGTGTTGGGAACAGTCACAAGATAGAATTCTCCGCGATTTACGCGTGCAAATTCAGTAATAATGCATGAAAAGCGCCCTCTAGCAAAATTGAAAACTTTTGAACCATGACCGTTCTGATCATAGCGTACGCCGCGCTACTTTACGTTTACGCGTAACAATTAGAAGCGTCCGATTTACAATGCGCCCTCCTTTTGGAACATAAGGAACAAATTAACGTATTGGTAACGAACTTATGGCGTAACGCGAACACCCTATCTCAGATCCATGGCAACGATTAGGACGCCCTCTCCAAAAACAGATTACTTTTCTGTGCCAAATCGACGCTTCTATTTGTTACGCGTAAATCGCGGAGAACGCTATCTTGTGTTTATAAGATCTTTGATTCACATGAAGAATAGCGCCCTCTGACCTTATTGGCGCTAATTTAAAATTGGAGAGCTGTGTAGGCCTATGCGATTTGATCACGTCCTGATTAACCTGAATTTTCCGTTTTGTACCTTGTTAGTAAAACTTATCTCTGAAAATAAAAGGTAATTACTCAATTGTAAAGCTAACGTTCAAGCAAAATTGTGTCAAACTTTGACCTAAAGAAGAGTTAATGTTACTCCATTGATCAACACAAATAGGCTGTGGATGTGGTGGCCTTTTTGACGTGTTCTCATTGATTGATATGCACTAGGGCTTAGCCTAGAAGCTAGGGGGCCTCTCCAGGCATTCTAACACCACTCTATAGGCCTAGTAGGCGTATAGTGAGAATGTGTAGGCCCTCTAGTATAGGCCTAGTAGCTATTTAAGAATTTTGTTAGTCTTTTAGTTAGATTTGAAATCGGCATAGGCCTAGCCTAGGCCTACATACTAGTAGTAGTAGGCCTAATAATATATATAGTTAGTAGTAGGCTATATTGTATTAATTTTGTTAGTAATCGACCAACATTTTGGCTGGGCTGGGTGGGGGTCACATGGCTTTCTTTTTGAGGACTGTTCAATCACTTCCTTTACTTTCGTAACTTTGAATTAAACATTATACAGATTAAAGATACGGATCTACACCTTTGCTATGATTTTGTTTTGTAGGACAGTGAGTTAAGCTTCCATTTCTTTACTACAGTAAAAATTGTCATATTCTTGTTGAACGTATTCATAACATTATTATAGTTCGCCCTCCAATTTCTACACCACTTTGGCACCTGAAAAATTTAAGGTGTACTCAGGGTTCTGTTCTCTACTTTAGAGTGTTAGCGTTGTGTTAAAGGTTGACGATTGTTCATTGATTCTTTGAAAAAGTAGTGGTCGTCGAATTAGAGGGGTCTCCAATTTCTGCTTTCTGGACAATACTGGCAACCAATTGATGCAGTTTTCTTAATTATTAATACTGATGAGATATGTTCATATTTCCCAGTGCAAGACACAATTCTGGCAGCCATATTTTGAACTCATTGCAATGGGTGAATATGTAACTTTGAGAGACCATACAATAGTGAATTTCCATAATCTGGTTTGGCTGATACAGGGGTTTATTTAAGAGCCGGCGGCCGGCGCATTCGATCGGCTACTACGATGTTTTCGCCGGCTACTTCAATCAATGCTGTACAAAAATTAATACAAAAACCACCAATATAAATAGCGCAACAGGCCTGTAAAGAACCTTATTTACCTACACGAAGTTAATTTGCAATAGTATGCACTAATGTCGATGTTCCTTTCTGTTGAAAGTTCGTTAAAATGTCTACCAATTCTCAGAATCCATGTTTGACTTTCATGAACTCACGGCGTAAACAAAGTTAAAGTTCAAAGTTCGGCAGTCGCGCCTGGGTGAGGCCATCAAAGAAGCCACGCCTCCAAATCACATGTTAGCCAATAAGATAATATAAATTTCTCCTCCACCACGTGCTCAGGTGATGACGATATATATCGCCGGGCCCAAACTCTTTTTCCATACATTGGGCTTCCGGGTTTTCTTACCGCGGAGAAGAAAAAAAACAGATCGTCATTTTTAAATTAATTTGTGTATGACTATGAACCTTTTATTTTCATTTTATTTTTATTTTATTAGCCCTCTTTGTGATGACATAGATATTTCGGAAATGATAAATAATTTTTTAAAAAACCAACACTGGTTCAAATTCGTTTACACTCGGTGGCGGAGGTAGCAAGGCGAACCAACTATATTGGATGCTGTTTACACTCACAATTTCAGAGTTATAGATAGTAGGCCTACAATGATTAAAACGGCAAAGCAAGCCCAAATCGTCTCAATTCACGACATCACATGAGACATTTTTTCCCAATGTGGTATCCAT